AGTGATGAGAATTGAGAAGTCCAACGGACCAGCTAGCTGTCCCGCCGCAGTCACAATGCGACAGGACTTGACGAATGAGTCACGGGTTGGCCAGCTGTTCTAGTAGGCATAAAGACAACAGGGCCTCACGAATGAGTCACGGATTGGCCAGCCATTCCAGCCGCCGTGAAGACGGCTGGGCCTCACGAACGGCTCACGGACTATAAAAGTCACCGGTCAGCTGTGTTGGTCGGTCAGCTGAGCTGTCGGGTGATGCAACCCTGCGATGTCTCGGGGATGAGGGTCAAGGTGCCGGGCTCCGGACGAGTCTCCGGTGCTCTGCTCAGCAGGTCTGGTCTCGGCGGGGCGGGCAAGTCGAATCGCTCCGATCGCCGCCAGCTATTCCAATGAGCTCGGGTGCTCGCTGTTTCCCAACTTCGCATTCTCATGCATCCTAATCACAAACGGGTTTGGGCTGTAGGCTAATCAAGAATGGACGTTACTTGAAGATGCCGTGTGCTGAGAGCTATGGTCTGCTCTGGTCCTACTTGCCAAAAATATTATAAATCTTTTTCGGAAGTTTCTCTATCACAGGCCTTTGTGAATTTGATGCTAGAGTTTTGGCCAAGTCATGCGTAGATTGCGTTCCTTTTAGCACATTTTGGTACTTCAAATAGAATGCCAACGCTTTCCGTTCTGTCAAGCTTTCAAGATACGAGCACTTACCATATGTATTTGGATTGCTTTAAACGGCAGCCGCTATTTAAATCCCGGGCGGATCGACTGTGCAATGTGTTTTACCAGCAGGGATGAGGCCCATTACAGGCAGGCGCTCGCCTCACACCTGTTACGGTGCGGGGACGAGGCTAGCCGGCTCTAATCCCAAGGCTGTCGCTGTCATTAGTGGAGATCCCGACTGGCGAGACGGACGGATGCTGTTCTCGGGCCCACAGAGCCGCTTTTTGCTGCGATGCGGAGCTACCAGCCGCCGCCGCGCGGAGCTACCCCACCTGCACCTTAGCTGAGAGGTGCGGCTCCGCGGCTGAGATACCGGCCTTCTCAACGCCAAATGACTGTGGTGTGTAGCCACCAGCCATTGAGGACGTCCAGTGACTGCCCAGCAGCCGTCCGGTCGCCCGGCTGGTCCCCGCCTGAAACAGGGTCGGCTACAGCTGCTGACCAGGGGCCAGTCGCAGCTCGCAGCTCGCATCCGTCCACAGTCCATCCACAGCCAGTCCACAGCCCGGTCCACAGCCGGTCTGCAGCTGCTCAGCTGTCTGTCAGGGCCGGGAGATGCGACGCACTGAGAGAGATCAGCGACGACGATCGGTCGGGTGGAGACGATCAAAACATGCCGACACCGGACGGCTGCATCTTCGGTGTCCAGTCCGGTGTCCGGTGCAAGCGGGATGACTGTGGCCAAGGTCTGCAGCCCTGCAGTGGTGTTTGTGACAACAAACGGAGCCCGCCGAGCGTCGTAGATCTGCCACTGACCCAGTGGGAGAGATGAACGGGAGTTGGGAGTGGTATGTTGGGATTGGAGACCTGCCCCCTGTCTCTGGCTAGCCTGGGGGGTGTAAATGGATCACCTGTTGTCCTCATCGTTCTCTCTCGGATGCTCTTATGTCCTCTCCTCTGTTTATCCCTCTTTTCTTTTCTCTCTCTCTCTCTCTCTCTCTCTCTCTCTTTCTTTCTCGCTCTAGCTCTCTCCTCTCCTCTCTTCGCCCCGTCGTTCACACCACCTTCCGCGCACCCCGTGAATGACTCCGGCCGGTTTGACACATCCCGCTATGTTCCGCATACGCGCGCCCGCCGAGAGATTCATGGCACGCGGCTGGTGACGTGCCTGCACGCCCACCACGGCGCCCAGGGTCGTCTGGGAATGCACGTGCGCGCACAGAGCAACACGCCAGGTTGATGATATTGGCCAGGGTCTGTAACTTGAGTGGCGTGGCGTCGAGATGGTGTGTCGTGTGCCTGGGTTCAGTTCATATAGAAAAGCCAGTCGGCAAGCAAGTATCACTTTTCTTAAGTGCCACTTTTCAAAAGGACACTTTTGGTAACATTGGTGCCGGTGTGTAAGGGTGGCTATATGAACCCGTCTGTCGAGTTCCCCTTTCCGATAAGTGTCCCTTAGCAGTAAATGGGGCTCTATACGAACTGGGCCCTGGTCCCGTTGGTTGGATTCCGGTCCCATGGGTGTTGGCTGGTACTGCTGGGAGGCAGAGGGTGTGGTCCAGGCGTGGTCCTCGCGCCAGACGCCAGAGGGTGGGTTCGCTAGAGGCTGGCCTTGGCGGTCGTACTCTCGTAAAATATCAATAACAACAGCGGGACCATGGGAGGCTGTCCCGGCCGATCTCTCACGGACTGTTGGATACAGCCGCAGCTGCGTGAACCGTGTAACGTTTCCACCGCAGACCCGTTAGCATGGCACTGGCTGTGAACTCGCGGCAAAGTTCGGCAGGTGTGAGGTTATTTTAGTCGGCAGTTGAACCACCGAACCTCTCCCGACGCTTTGTGATTAGCGTGCCCTCAGAATGACGCGCTTCTGCTGATCTTTACCGAGCTGAGCGGATCTCCCCGAACTGAGATATCTGGGGCGGCCCGACCTGACCGCAGCGCACGCTACCGACCTGCCGGTGTCAGTCGGCCCCCACGTGGGGTCATGTGTGACTGAGCTGGTGGGGCTGACCCGACCAAGGTGCTGCTCTGACCCCGGGCCAGGGTCAGTCAGTCGGTGCAGCGGCCGTGCTACTGTGCGTGTGTTGTATGGTTGCGCCGACGAACAACGCTGACTGCACGCGACCTAGGCCGTCGTGTCTTGGAAACTTTTTTTTAACGCAATTTATGAAATCAATTCAAGGCGTGTCCGTCTCATAGTTTTAATCTTATCCATTAGCTACGCATTAAAAATGACTAGTGTCCTTGTAATCCTTAGCCCTTTTGTTCCGAATCAACATGAAAATATTTTATTGTGGCCTTCTTGGATAGAGATCCCTTAAAATTTACCTGCAGCAATGCTCCGTGCACGAATATACGAGTGCTGAACAGAGTGGCTGTGCGATGCGTGGGCGCACTTTTCCATGACGTGGGTAGTCTGACACCCGTACTGACTGCTGCCGGATGACGGCTGACCCTGGCACGTAAGAACGGGCTCAGCCGCGGCCCAGATTAAAGTCGGGGTAAACCACCAGCTGAGACGAACAATCTGGACGAACGGAAAGCTGGAGCTGAGGCTGGTGATGATAGACATATGCAGACAGAACAGATGGAATGTCACAGTCGTATTGGTGCTGGCAAAAATACTTGAATTAAAAAGAAGCTTGTTTCTTTTTTCAATTAATCCGGTTTCGAGTATTTACAATGTTCTCTCGGTTTATCATAATTTTGTATGCAATTACGTGGGCGTCTTATTCTGCCATAATGCTGTCTATTCCGAGCTCGATCGTTGCCTTATGGAATCGTTCCTTACCTGTGTCATTATAGTCATGCGCAACATGACGAACACATGTGAATTCATCTATGTGAAGTGCATTCATGCACAAATCAGGTTATAACTACGGTGGCCCACCCATGGTAAACAGTCGTTAGAGGTTATTTCGTCACCCATGAACGGACACGTGACTCGTGCCGGACAACCAACCATCCGTAGAAACAGTGGTATGGAATCGATGAATGGAATTGGTTACCCAACAAAGGTGGCACTCAGTAGCGAATGCATGCAAGTTTCATGACCATTGGAATCTGATGGGTCAGCTTATCCCATTCTGATCTCATTTAGGCAGTACAAAATTCATTTGCTAACATGGATAGGAAAGTAGGAACGCTTTTGACCATTGCAAATATAACTTGTTCAATGTTCATTTCCCCTGGGTAATACATTCCACAAGTGTCGTCTTAGGTGAGTCCGAGGGCAGACATTAGGCTGGATATAGTCGCCGATATTAAAACCACTGTCATCCTTCCTGTAATCCAGCCGACAGTCGGTGACCCGTGTTACTCGGTATGACACTGGCAGTGGCTCTGAGCCGCATTGTTTGCTCTCTGTCTCGCCCGCCGGTCTGGCTGCGCCGTTCAGCTTTTTACCGGCTCGCTGCTCGAGTGATACATTCGTTGGTCAATCGGGGTCCGTAAAGGAGTCGTCGGTTTACGGCCCATTAGGCGTCCGCTGGTATTACTTCATCTGGACACGTTACCACACAGGCACGGGTCGCTTTGGCCCGGCCGCCGCCCTCCAGCCGCCAACTGACCTGATACGGGTCGGTCGGTCGGCCAGCGCCGTCCGTGGCATTGGAGTTAAGGAGCTTGGTATTAGGGTACTATCAAGTTTGCAACGTGTCGCAAGACGCTGAGACACTAGATCCCAAGGCAGCGTGATTATGGTGCATGCGATGGCTGAAATTCGTACAACGCTTGCGTCGGTTGCCGACTAGGGAGATTATTGCGGAATTTGTTAGTGTGTAGAGTTCTTTTCAAAGCATCATAGGTCGTCTGATTTATCTCCTGGGTATCCAAAGGAAACTGCCGCCCTGCATACTAATTGGCAATTATAATTAATCAATAATCTCTGTTTATGTTTTTATTCTCTGGAGATGGGTGCGTTTCATTTAAGCTTTGATTGACTTGCGCGCGTGATTACGTTCTTTATGGTTGTTTGCGTCACATCGCTTGCGCAATGTGCATTTACAAGGATTATTATCATGGGAAGGACATAGCTGCGTGCTTGCGCTGCTGCAGTCATTTGGCTAAATTTGGCCTCATTGAGTGACGCAACGAAACCTGAAGTCAAAGCTCATCGTGAGACGACAGATGCAAAAAAAAAACTGAACTTATTGAATGGAATCTTTTTGAATTGCTGTCCGATTGTTAATGAACAACTGCTTTCATTGTAAATAGGATCATAGCTGTGAGAAGGATGTTAAAGTGGACAATTGGGTTATACACTTCTGCAGTCTCCAATATTTCAGGATAGTGACTTGGAGACTGGAGTAACTTGGGAGAAGTTGAAGCTGGAGACCCACCTGAGCCAAGCACAGCCTGTCGCTTATGCCTCCTGTTAGTCCGATCGTCGCCATCACCGTGCGCCGCGCGGTCACCGGCCACATATCCGTTCGTGGAGAGCCACGACACGGTCACGGCCGCCAGCACGGCCAGCAGCCGCATCACGAAACGTCACGGGTGTCACGGAGACGTCGCACAGAGTGTCACGGACCGCCTGCTCGCGGCAGCGGCGGCGGCGCGTCACAAGGTGTCGGGGCGCGCGCGCCGCGGCCGGGGACTCGCCGTCTCGAGGCTCGAACAGCGTGTGAGGGCAGCGCTCACATCCTCCGCGGCAGCCCGCGCGCGCACTCAAGGGCAGCACCTGGGGCGGCGCGGCCGCTGGCCCCGGCTCGGCCGCCGAACCCGCCGGCCACACAGAACAGCAGCGGCGACAGCGGCGGCTCCGACCCGGGCCGCACAGAGCTGGGAGAGGCGGCGGGGAGCGCGGAGCAGCGCACGTTCGCGACACGCGGCGGCCGGGGCGACACTGCACGTGGCTGACGGGAGGGAGTCGAAGCACCGACTGGATTAACTCCTCTGCAGCGCGGCGCGCCGGCCGCCTCAGCCACAGCGCTGCCCAGCTGGATGAAAGTGAAAACGTCGGAAGGTCGCGGGTGAAAGGCCGTCGTCAGTCGACGAGCACTGGCCGCACGCGCCGCACACCGACGCTCCGTCGATGTCGGCGGCGATGGAGGGCGCGTTGCGAGCGGGGGCGCAGGTGTTGCTGAACTGATTCGGGTCCGTCCGGTCCCCGAAGGTCCACCTTCGGCGATCCGACTACGATTGTTTCCAGAAACCTGTTGGTGTTGGCTGCTGCCAAATTCCAGTTTTTGATGTGTTTTTGTTTTCTTCCTAGTTGTGCGGTTGCTGCAGATCGAAGTTGTGATTTTAAAATGCTCCTCAACGTTTTCTTTGTCGTTCAAAATCTTTAGATGCTTTGTCGAGCATTAGTTTCTATACTTCTTTTCTATTTAATATATTCTATGCTCGCTCGCGCTAATTTAAATATATGAAGTAAGCATGAACATTGGACATCTGTATCATATTGGCAAGGATTTAGTTACTGATTGTTGTCTATGAAACCACAATCAGAAACATCAATTCTATTTACTTATTATCATAAATCCCTTTTAATTTAGTTTTCTGGCTCATCGATTCACTGATTTCCAATCCTGCATACACATAGGCCCGCATCATTCATCTCTACCATCCCCGTTCCTGGCCGTTCTCAAGATCACCTTTTATTACCACCTCCTCCGCCACCCGCTGCGACCACCGGGACCGGCGGCCTCCGCAGTCGAGCAGCGTTAAACAGATGAGCGGACGCGCTGCGGCTCCCCGCAGGAGGTGCGACTGCGTTTACATATGTATGCGGCCGGTCAGGGCTGCGGCGACGGCGACGACGGGTGCGACGCCTCTTTGGCGGCCTGCTTTCATTCAGTCTCTGGAGCACTTGATGTCATGCAGGATGACTAGATTTGGCTCCAGGGTTGAGAGGTCCTGTTGAAGGTGTCTCAAAGGATTGGTGGCCTCAATGGCCCGGAGGCTGTCGGGTGTTTCAAAGGCACGCGTTCAGAATATAATTGAGTCGGAAAAGGAACGAGCTTGGCGCCTTACAGAAGGTTATGGCGGTATTTCATCACCTCTTGTCAGATGTGCAAGTCGATGGCTGCTGAAGGGCTGAAGTACGCAAGGTTGACTGTAGCGCGTCGCCACATTGAATTTCACAAATCAGCCTGGTGGTTTTGCATTATTCAGGCAGTTGTGCGGGGAGTGTCTGACTACTAACGGAATTTTCATCGAATATCTGTTGGTGGGCTGACCATGAAGCCGTTTGTCGAGGTGTGTGTGAGGAATTTGGGTGTGCTCTATCGATTCAAAGTTTAGTAGTTGGCTCACCTTTTCCATCGATCGTTATGGTCGATGTTCCCGACGTGTTTCATTAATTTCAATTAGCAGCTGTCCCTCCAACACCTGGGTTTCCATGGCAAGTATCCTCCCGTCGCATAAATCTTCACTCTGGTGAATGTGAGCTTATTGGAGCTACATGGGAATCGCTTGGAGCGTGGATAACATAACATTTAGCTACATGATTTTTTTCAGAGCGTGACTGGAAACCGTTTGTCACTGTTTAAAATTCTCTGCTAACACTGGCTTCTAAAAAAAACCTGGGTCTTTGACCTGCCTCGGTGCTAACGCCATTCGAAATGGAAGCTAATCTCTGAAACCTTTTCAAGATGTTTGGAATTAATGAGCGACTTCTTTGGGCTGAATCCCTATGCGGAGCTCCATGGCTGTTTGTTGGATGCTGCTTTTTCAGTAACATTTCCGCAGTTTGATACCGTTTCTCAGATAATTTGCCTTTCAATTTCTCGAATTTCGATGGAAACAGTCCCCCACAAAAGGGAAATCCAGATTAAACTCGTTCTATCACTTTGTGAACAATACGAAAGCAGTAACTCAACAACACTAAATTTCGCTTCGTATCTGTAGTATAGAGACGACGCGTTCAACTTCGGTAATCTTACTGTTATCCGAATAAGATCGTGTTAAACATTATGTAATACACTTGTTTATGATGCGTTTACTTAATGTTTCTGGCCGTCAAATCATTGCAGGTCTCGGATCAAGTAGCTCATTCAGACATTTGTGAATCGGACTTGTTCCTTTACATCACGGGAGCTCCTCACTTAGCCACGGGTTCCTTTGCTGACCAGGCGTCTGGGCTGTCAACGGTCCATCATTTTGGTGTGTCTTATTGTGCACTGTGCATGTCATTCCCCCAGAACTAATCCTTCGTGTACAATTGTACATCCCTGTTTCGCCTGTACAATATCCAGTGCAGACTTGGGTGGGCAGCTTTCCCCGATTACCGCAGCCGTTCTTCTAGTTCTCCATTGCACATTATGCTGGACGGTGCCCATTTGCAGTTCTTCCGACCCTGTTCTGATAGCCAACTCGTTACTTTCTACACCAAGTTGCACTCTTGCCGTGTCCCTGACACATGGAGTGGCCGGCCGGTCGCTGGCCACGGCTGGGTCATGTTTGGCCAGTGGGCTGGCCAGTGCTGTTCGTTTCGTGCCCTGAATCCCGGGTCCGTGCCCTGAATGTGTGCACCGTGACGTGCTGACTGATGTTGACCTGCTCCGTGTTTAGCGACAGTGACCGGCGGGACAGCCGCGGTGACCTGCCGTGATAAGTGGGCCTAAATTGATTACCGTGCGAAAGACGTGACGCTTGTCAGCATTCTTGGCGTGACTTTCACGATAAAACTAGTCAACAAACGCAGTAGTTCGGAAAATTGTTGGTTTGCGTGAAAAATTGTTGGTCTGTGACCACTCATGCCCGAATGAGCATTCACAGGTCTGTGTATTTTCAGCTGAAGGCTGCTGTTTACCAAATCCCATTTCTCGACGTGTTTGCTTTTTTATGTGGATAGATGTGTCTGTCTTCTACTTTTTCGGATCGCCTTTTGCTACTTGAGCCGGGAGCCCGATGGCCAATACTCCGGAATGTCGGCCGAATTCAAACGTGCTAAACGGAAACATGTTTGCATATATTTTATTGTTAAACAAATTGGTAATTCAGCACAGTTGTCCTTGCCCAGAATTGACACGTGATCCTCTCAAACTGCTTTGAGGCCGGCTGGTCAGATTAACGTCACATGTTTAATGCTACATAATTGAACAACTGGCGCGAACATGATAATGCTGATCTTGAAAGCGAATCTGCTGGAGCGTCTCAAAGCCGGCATACTGTAGGGTTTTACCAGAACTTGTCCAGAGGTCTTCGACCCGGTAATTTGGGAACTCCGTGACATTGAGCTACTCCATCTCGTCTACAACATCTGTCCTCTCTTAGGAGTTTAGGACTTGTCAAGCTGCTTTTCCGCGGTGACCGACCACGTGTGCCACCCATTCAGTGTTCAAAGAGCTCTTTGCTGGCTTAGCCGAGCTTCAAGCTGGACCATTTGAATACAGCTTAGCGGAGGTGTGATGCCTAAACGGAATTACTGAGGGATATCTGCAGCTGACGATACTGTTCAAATAACTGACCATGTCGGAACCGTATTCTGTAGTGATGTCCATGGCCCTGCAAGGACACTCTTGTCAGATGCAAAGGAAGGAGCGGCACCGCCGCGCAGCCAGGGTGCAGTCGGTGAGCCAATGTCTCGCACGCACCTCGCACCTGTCTGGCACGGATGACGACAGACATTCCTGCTGTCCACTGAGGTGGATGATGACACCCTTCCTATCAGCTGCGCCTCGTCATCGCGCGGTGGTGACGCGACGGGACGGCCCGGCGAGGGAAGGTCGGCGCCCTGACCCTATGGGATTCTTCTTAGAGACAGATGCCACCGGCGTGAACGGGCTGACTCAGCGGATCTTCTCTGAGGTGAAGGTCGTCTTGGTCAATACTGGTGAATAACGTCATGGTATGTAGGTGTCGTCTGCCGTCGCAAGCCATCTGCTCTGCCTGCCTTCATATGGGTTGTCCTTGCGGCATTTTTATCGACATTGTTGTGAGGTTTTCTATAGGTGGTTTCGGCTCCTTTGCGTTGAATGCTTAGCCATGACCGACATCGCGTTTTTTTTTGCAGACGCTTATACGCTTGCGTATTTAATATTCATATGCGAAAGAGAGCTACTCCTGTATTGCAGTTGCTGAAGGCCCTTCAGGCTCCGAGTTTTATCAATTTTACATACCATTACGTATGGAGCTATGAGCTGCCTTCATCTTTTGCGCTGCAAAAAAAAAAAAAAAAACTGGCAAACATTGTAGGGATCGGTGTATAACTCCAAATGAGGTGTGTTCTCTTACGCTAATTTTCGAAACTTGGAAGATTGTAATTACTAGCTCAACCTGTACAGTGAACACTCATAAATAATCCTGTTTTGTGTTTATTAGAAAGGAACTTGTTTGGGGCTTACTGTCCGCATCCTGCACGAAGAAAATCTCAACTTTGCTTGGTGCGTTGCGAAACTTCTTGCCGATTGGTGATAGTTGAGGGTAAACATCTTCCGCATCACGCTGTTGCACTAAGCGTCAAATGTTACTACATGTTGGATATTATTACGCCTATGATATCAGCATATCCATCCTCGGGACCAACACCCTCTGAGACACCCACACCGACTTATACCACCGTACCCGGAAGGCCGGCCACGCCAGCGGGCCCTCGTGTGACCTGCGGCGGTGGGATGCGCGCCTGAGGCCGCCCGGCTGACCCCCAGGTCACCGGAGCACGGCTGTCGGTCGAGCACGCCGTACTTTCACGCTCGACAGGCTGGATTCTGGGCGGGATGGGTGTCGGGGGAGTGAGTCTTGATGGGGGAGGTGTGGGTGAACCGCTTTTACTCTCATATCATCCCCACCGATGCCAACGCCTCGGCAACCACTGCAGCTGCTGCTGCTGCTGCTGCGGCCGTTAGGGTTACAGGGATGTTCAGTTTGTGCGTTGATCAGCATAAGACACGCCTTCTCAAGGTTCCGTCTGCGTGGTTGGGTTTCAGCATTGTGCGGTTGTCATACTTGACAGGAGAAGCAGCGCTGCGCTGAGGCCATTTGGATGCGC